ATCAACACAAATAAGCGAAGGAAGCTTTAGTTGGAAAAATGCGGATTTTTTATCTCTAATATTTTTGCGTGAAACTTATATTTCGAAAAAATGCTTGATAAAATTTCTGACAAAATAAAATAAGATAATAAAACTTCAAAAATTTATATGTAAGGAAAAACCTATGTATTTATACAATTCTTACAATTTGTATTTATACAACCTATGTATTTATACAATTCTTTAATGAATTAAAATAAAAATGACTTTCTTGTATCTGTTGTTAGAACGACAGAAAGGGAAATTGAAGGAATTGTTATACGCTGTGCGAATCTCGTTGATGTTGGATTCGTTCGGTGCTCATCTCGTTGCGTTTTTGCTCTGCATAAATGATGAGCCCGAGTATTTTAATGAAGACATTCCGCAGCTGCTTGCCGGCTTCTTGGCGCGCGACGAGGGGAGAAAGAGGAAGGACCTCCTTGACTTAGATTTTATTCCTCATCCTTTCAACGTCGTATCTCAATGACGAACAATGGGATTATGAAAGCTGCTTTCGCAAACTGTCGATTAAGTTCGATGTCCTCATAATAAAAAAAAAGGAATACAATAAATGAAATTAAATAAAGTTAAATCGATAAAGTCATAGAATAAGTTAAAAGAATAAATTATTTTAAATAGCTATAAATTCGCTTATAATTTAATATATATGATTTGCTGTGATGACAAATTTTATTAATAGAAAATACATTTTTTATGTTTCTAATTTATTAATTATTTTACAATCTGAATATTTTTATTTCGAGATGTAATGTACTCGTAAAATCCGTTGCAAGATAATTCTTTTGTGATAACAAACTTAATGGGTATTATTTCCGGACTTCCGGATTCTTTAGAAAAATCCTGCCGATATTAATTGACCAAGACGAGCGAATCCCATTCCTCTGAATGCCCGAGAATCGCGACGTTGCATCGTAGAATGCTCGAATCATGCTCCCTAATTCTCCGATAATCCAGAGGCTATACGAAGATTTACCGTGATCGTCTCCGAAGTATCCTGAAGGGGTCTCCCGCAGAGCAGGTAGCTTCTTGCGCGAGAGGGGGAAAAGGAGAAGCGGAGAGACTTCTGTCAGCATGACCACGATTATATCTGTGCGTTTATCTACGCCTATGTCAGCCACGAGAGAGCCGAATGTCCTTGTTCTACAGTTCTATGTATAAGAGAACATGCGGCTCATTTATGTAATGAGGGATTCCTACCGTGGACAGCACATTGGTGGCAGAAGGATAAGGGGGATAAGTTAAAGACGAGGAGAGATCCAACACATTCCCTGATCATAAATCTATCTCATGGGAGAAGATATCATGTGGGGTCTAGGATAAAGATGAAGGTATATTGCGGTCGATAGTAATTTTGGGTTTAAACCAGGAATTTCGATAAATTAAAACAAGATTTGCTTCTAATACTTTTATTTCTTCATTTTCATCTTCGTGTAAATTCTTATTTACGTTTGGTACATATATGTATATATAGTGGAAACATTCATTAAGAAAATTCGCATAATACAAATAGCTACCACATATTAAAAGAAAGAAAAGAGAATAAAAACGAAACTATTTAATAATTAATTGATAATTGATATTTCATATTGATGATTAATAGAACTAGAATTAATTTATGTAGCTGCCACAAAATTTGAACATTGACGTGTGATAAATGGTCGAGGAATTCAAAAAGTAAAATTAATATTCATATTCACGGTTGGGACATTTATTGCACTGGTGCAATATCAATTCGATCCCCTATATCATCCCACCAGGTTACAAAAGGGGGAGCATGTATTTGGTATTTAATTACCGAGAACTGAAGGGTGATTCGCGCAAGTGTTCGATTATTTATTACGCAAATATCTAATGCTTTCAATATTATACAAAAATACTATTATACAAAAATTTAATATAAAAATTTAATGTAAACTATTATATTTCTACACTGTAATATTCTTTTTCAGATGTAGATATTCTTCAACGAATATAAATATACAATATACAATATTTATATTTAAATACTGTATACTTGCAGATAAAAATATCGAGAGGAAACTATTATTTTATCCTTTCTGTTTCAGTATTCTGATTTCTAACATTAATTGCGCTAGTAAATTTGCGAATGCGATTTCATCGCAAGCATAATGGGAACAATGAATAAACTATCGACCAAACAAAGCCAGTTTGCTAATTACAACAGCATAATATATTTTAGAGGCTGGCAATAAATTTCATTCCCTTCTCCTTTCATTCTTTAACCTTCTTTCCGTATATACTATACTGTTTCTATAAACACTACCCTTTATTCATACTAAACTTTTTGATGAATATAGCATCGATATTCGTTTATATTGTTAAAATTTTTGTTATAAACGATTTAAATACGTTCAATTTAATTGCGTTTAATCGACTTTTTAATTCAATTTTTGTCAATAAAGAATTTTCATTTCGTAAACAAAAAAAGAGCCACTCTATATGTCAGTTACTTTCTTCTTATCTGAGAACCGAGACAAGGGTTATGACTGCTATACGAGAATTTATTTTATTATGTACTGAATTTACTGGCGGCTACTGTTTATTATAATAGGAACCCGATTAGAGATTATAGAATTTATCTTTACATTTGTATGGAATAAATTAAAAATTATTTAATTTAATTTAAATGGATTTTGATTATGATATATTTTTATTTAATGTTAATCTGTCATTACAGAGAATTGAATTCTTTTGGCTGAATAATATTTAAAAGAGATAATGAAGATATATTAGGAAGCTCCAGATTTCGCTGCTGTTCATGTGAGTTTCACGTGGCTTCCTGTCGATAGTTTTTCCGCGTCTGAGGCATATGCACGATTGCGTAAGAAAACACGGAGATCATATGAAATGGTAGAAGAAACAGAACAGACTGATTTATATGTATGCTGCCGGGATGATGCCCCAGCCAGAGTCGACGATGTT